TTTCTCGGATCTGGAATGTCCGCAGCAAAATCTGAATATATATTTGAAAATGTCTCATTCTCAGCTTTCGAATGATATAGGCCTCATATCAAAGTCCCATACCCCAGTTACAACCTTCCCTAGTAAGAGGATTACTGTAGCTAGAATTTTTAAGATTACTGAAGGAAAAAAATAGGTCATATCGCGCCGAAGGCGCACCAGCCAGCGGCAAACAGGCTGTAGTTAAAAAAAAGTGTTGGGGTACTGTAGTTACTGGAAGTTTGTGGAAACTCGAATTAGGAAGTTCTAGGTTTTGGGAATTAGTGAAATTCAGAGAAAACAGGAATTTGAACTTTTAGTAAAATATTTTAATTCGGAACTTTAGAACTTCCAGGTAATTCGAAAATCTTGAAGTGGGCGAATTCCAAGATTTCGAAGTTCTAGAAAGGTTGAATTTCAAAATTTGAAATTCGTAAAATTCAATAATTTTTCTCAAAATTTTCAGAATTTCAGGGAATTTTGAAAATTCTAAAAATTCTGAAATCTACAAATCCAGGCGTATCAGAAAATTCCAGAAAGGCTAGGATATTCAGGGAATCAATAATTAATGGATTTGCGGATTCTAGATTTTTTTTTTTTGAAAATTTCAAAATGTCCAAAAATAATCAGAAATTCGAGAAAAATTCGAAAAAACTTGAGATTTGAAAAATTTCAATTTTTCGGTTTTTTTTCAAAAATTTCAAACTTTCATAACTATTTTAGTTTTTAACCAATTTGAATAATTTTTACACTGAATTTTAGGAAATTTTATTTTTTACATTTTTATAGTCTTTTCAAACAATCTGAAATTTGAAAACCCAATTTCAGACTCCTCATTTTCAGCCAACAGTTGGTCCATTTTCTTCCTCGGCTTCTCCACTGGATCACTTCTTCTCACGCTGATTTTTACCATCATGTTTGTCTATTTTCGCATTTCTATGCGAAAATCTGACGAGTTTCGAATTCGGGTAACTTTTTTTTCTAATTTTCAAAAATAAAAAAAAATTTAAAAATACTTTTTTTTTTAATTTTTAAAAATTTAAAAAAAATTAGAATTTTTTTTTAATTTTAACAACTAAAAAGTTTCAGGGAGAAGTCGCTCTACCGCCACACATTATTGGAAAGTATATTTAATTTGTTTTCAATGTATTTTTCAAATTTTTGATTTCATAATCCCGCTAAATGAAAAATTAATGCAAAAATCGTACAATCTGTTTACTCATATCAATAATTTATAAGATTCTCTATACACATTTTCATTTATACATCCTCAACTATCTCCCTTTAATTGTTATATAGAAAACGAAAAAAGTGAAATTTGATACCCAAATTTTCTTGGTCCACCCCTTGCCCACAAAATGATACTCAAATAGAGGAATTCTGGGACAATTGAAGTATTCAGAATTTCTTCTAACGTCTTCTGAGAATTCTGGTGAAGGTTATAGAGGTTTTGGAATAGTTTGAAAGTTTTTAAATTTTGAGTTTTTTGAAAAAACTTTTTGAATATTCAAAAACATTTTAAGGCTATTTCAAAGGAATTTTTAGCTATTTTTTGAGAAATTTAAGTTCCAAAAAATCAATTTCCGTTGCCTATTTGTGTCCCGTATGCCTTTCATTTTTTGCCAATACTAAATATTTGTTCAACCTATCTTTCACCCAATTTTCTCAACAAACAGACACATTTACTAGTAGCTCCGCTTTTAAGTTTTATTTTAAAAGTTCAGTTTCAAAAACAGTTTTAAAAATGACGCCAAAAATTACCTAGAATTCACTAGAAAAATTTGAGCCTTAAAATAGAAATTTTAACTTTGAGCCAATTCATCTTGGTTTCTGAAAAAGATATCAAAAAGTTGTCAAGTGATAAAATATTGGTCATATTATGATAAACAATTTATCAGTTGACCACTTTTTGATATCTTTCACAAGGATTGAGATATATGGGCTCAAAGTTGATTGCCCTCCGGCGGCGCAGCTTGCGCCACCGTAGCTCAGCTGGTAGCGAGGCGGCTCCTTCAGCAGGGCGACCACAAATTCAACTTTTTGAGGAGTTTTTCATAAACCGAATTTCAAGAAAACCATGTTTCATTAGCCTTGAAATTGTTAATTTCCGTAATTAACGTTTTTCAAAAATTAACAAAAAATTAAATATACCGTAAACACTCTAATAGAACGCCACCCGAACCTTTTTTTTAAAGGTATCAAAAAGTTGTCAACTAATAAAATGCTGCTGATACCATGATAAACATTTTATCAGTTAATCACTTTTTGATATCTCTTACAAAAAATGAGATATATAGGCTCAAAGTGGATGGTCCGTGTGGCGTTCTACTTGAGTGTTTACGGTTTTTTCACCGAATTTTTTTCCTTTGTTGTTGTGTACAAAACACAAAGATTCTACTACTACTATGTCTCTGCCATTAGATTCGATAATGATGATGATGTTACACTTTTTCACTGACAGCAAAAAAAAAAGATAATTGACCCGCCTGTCTTTTTGTCTGTTTTCTCTGTTTGTTTCTTTATGTGTCGTTTTTATTGGCAATTTTTCAGTGTTCTTATTTAAACAAATTATTTGAAATTATTGTTTATTGAATGCAAAATTTTCCGAGCTTTCGAATGGTACAACTTTCAAACTTCTAGCGATACAACTGACCAAGTTATGACCAACTGTCCATGACTCATCTATTTTTTAGCCATTTCCAAATTCTTCTGGGATCAAATTGAGTCCTTCAAAATCAATCAATATAGAAACGGCTGTTCCCCTTGTGTTCTCTTCTTTTTGATGTGAAAAAAGAGAGAGAGAGAGAGAGAGAGAGAGAGAGAGAGAGAGAGAGAGAACAAAACACCCGGCCAATATCTTTTCACTTTTCATTTTGCTTCCTTCTTCCGCTTTTATTTCTCTTCTTGTGATATATTTTTTTTCAACTGACCCCTCTTCTTTTTTCGACTTTAAATTTTGACCTTTTTTCTGAAATTTTCAGCTACAATCCACTTTTTTTTTTTCAATTTTCAATGTTTGAATTTCCCATTTTGTCTCTTTTTATGATCTCATATTTTTTTGGCTATGTAAGCATTTTCAGCCATTTTCAATTCTTCGGAAAAATGAGAATTTTCTTGACTTTGGCACTGGTTATGGTAGTTTTGGTAGCGGTTACCGGTGAGTTTTGGGACTTTTTGTTAGCTTATAACGTTTCTAATTTTTGTTAAAAACTGTATTTTGATGTTAAGAATTTTTAACTTCTATTTTTCAAAATTACCGATTTTCAAGTCTCTATAATTATCAGGCTAATGATTTGAAGCTGAAATTTCAAGTTTTCTTTCTTAAGAATCCGCAAAACGATGCTATTCGGGATCAAAAGATCGGTATGAGTCACGTCAGTGTGATACGGGAACAGCCGGTAACTTTGTGTGCCAGAAATTCACTTGTGAAGGTGGAAAATGTGAGTTTGAAGGGGCGAAAGTAAGGACCCATGCTTATGAATTGGGACATAACTTGGTCAATTCTCGAATCAATTTCAATCAGAATCAAATTTTGAGGACCACTAAAATCAGGGCTTCAAAATTAGTGTGAGCATGACTTGAGTTTTGAAAAGAGTTGTCCACTTTGAGCACTGATAAAATGTTTATCATAGAATTACAAATATTTTCTTAGTTGACAACTTTTTGCTATTTTTCACAGGAAATGAGATAAATTGGTTCAAAGTTTGAAGTTTGAAAATGAGCCTCCATCGTTTTTGATCTAATAGTAAGTTATCGAAATTATAGCATTTGAAGGACTAAAATTGCTTTCAAAATCACCTTAGATTAATTGTAAAATTAAGGACTATCAGACAATTAGGAAATCGATTTTTTGGCTAAATTACTAGAAGTTTTTTAGCCAAACTCTAACTTCAAGCCAATTTATCTCATTTTCTGTAATAGATGTCCAAAAGTGGTCAACTGATAAAATATTTTAAATATTATGATACACATTTTATTAGTTGACAACTTTTTGATATATTTCACAAGAAGTGAGATATTTGTGCTCAAAATGGACAACCCTTTAACACAAACGAAGTCAGCCTCCCACTCATTCTGAAGCCCTCAATTTAAGGATTCCAAAACTGTCATTCGAACAGAATTTGTCCAAAAATTGCCCAATTTATGCCAATTCTCAAAATCTAGAGTTTACCTAGTTTTTATCCTCATTTTGAAGCCATTAATTTGAGGATTTCAAAACTTTTTACTTAAAAGTTTCACAAAGTTTTATCAAAAAATGCTCAAGTTACGCTCATATTAAGATATTAGACGTGTTTATACTCATTATAAAGCTCCAGACTTGCTGGTTCCAGATCTTCTATTTTGAAAATTGATTTTCACATAATAAGGTCAAAATCTGGAATGTTTTTTTGCAGTTTTTGCACGTTTCCCTCTCCCCCAGCTCCCACTCTATTCATCAGTTCCGATTTTCCCCAAATTGCCTCCTGATTTTTTGATTTTTCCCAATTTTTTAGCTCCATTCGTTCTTCGCACATGTGCCAACAAGAGAACAGGATGTCTGGCTGGTCCGGCGATTTGCAAATTCTCCAAAGGAACTGGAAGTTGCTCCAGATGCGAGGGAGACAATTGCAATTCATAGATTTCTTGGTTTTCGCGATTTTTGTGTTTGTGTGTTTATCTATATGTTGTGTTGGAGACTTTGCAATTGATTTTTGATTTGAAAATGTAATAAAATTTGAATCTTTGATTTAAAAATGACTGAATTCCAATTTTTTCATGACTGAATTCCAATTTCTGAATTTCGGAATTTCTGAATTTCTGAATTTCTGAATTTCTGAATTTTCGAATTTATGAATTTTTGAATTTCTGAATTTCTGAATTTCTGAATTTCTGAATTTCTGAATTTCTGAATTTCTGAATTTCTGAATTTCTGAATTTCTGAATTTCTGAATTTCTGAATTTCTGAATTTCTGAATTTCTGAATTTCTGAATTTCTGAATTTCTGAATTTCTGAATTTCTGAATTTCTGAATTTCTGAATTTCTGAATTTCTGAATTTCTGAATTTCTGAATTTCTGAATTTCTGAATTTCTGAATTTCTGAATTTCTGAATTTCTGAATTTCTGAATTTCTGAATTTCTGAATTTCTGAATTTCTGAATTTCTGAATTTCTGAATTTCTGAATTTCTGAATTTCTG